GCACCCGCAGCGGGTGTTTTTTCCCGCCCAAACCGGGTCCGCCCGGGAGAGCGGGCCCTCCAGGCCAAAAACTGAGTTTTCACGCTTAAAATCGCCAGGGATATCCCCGCTCCACCAAATTCTCACTTGCAGCAGCTTAACCACCCGGCTTGTACCTCAGAGCTTAACGCCAACAGTCCGATGAGATGGGTGCTGCCACGAAGATACTCAGTAGGCACTACCCCAGACAACCCGTTCGTTTCTGAAGTAAAAATCTGCCGGTCTACTCCTACGTGTGTTTGATCATCTTTCTTTCCCTTGTAACGTGCAGGCAATCGAAAAACCAGCACTGTTCAGAGTGCAGAGCACTCTGCATGTCATGAATTTGAGAGGAATTGAAGGAAGGAAAGAATCCCTTCCTTACCACCGCCAAAGGGAAGCTCCTGAGTGTTTTAAATTCCTCTGAAAACCTCCAGTCTTGATATGTGTATTTATGGAGTAAAATAAAATTTTGAAACTTCCAAAGCAGTATAATTGAAATCAAAGTGCTGCACCGATAAGGGTTTTGCACTTGGAGTAATGTAACAACCACCAAAAGTTCACAAAATTTGCTGTTTGATTACTGTCCCCGTCAGCTGCCGACATCACTGTGAAGGTGTGAGAGCAAGCAGCGCCGGCTGCACGCATAAACAAGATGCCAGGCTCAACAGACAATTCCTGACTGGTTTTTGCCAATGTCGTTACTCATTTTTAACTGGACTTTTTCTCATTTTGCTTTTCAAAATATGAGAAATTCTGAGTTATCTCTGAATATCATATAGGAGTGGTTTACATTCCATTTAAACAAATTCTGTTTAAACTGCCTTTTAACTGTACTACTTATTTGTATTTTAACTATAGTTCTCCTCATGAGACAATTTGCCTTAAGCTCCCAAAACCTGAAATCTAAATTAAAATGATACCACAATACAGAAGCCTTCCAGAGTGAAGTACGGGATGGATCCTTTGGACCCAACGCTTTTTCCCAATTCATGACCCACCACAGAGATGCTAAAATGA